TCTCTCTCTCTCTCTCTCTCTCTCTCTCTCCTCTTTCTCCTTGCTCTCATTTAACCATCTGGGTAGCACTGAACTCCATCCTAAACTCTATTTTCAAATGTAATTTTTTTTCTTTTTTTTTCTTTTTTTGTATTTTAGGGAAGGGTCTACAGGGTGTTCAGGGTCTCTCGTAGTGATCCACCTGTTTACAGACTCCCAGGAGCTGGGATTACAGGCACGCGCCACCACACCCAGTCTCAATGGCCTTCTCAGCATGCCGCAGGGGGCGGGGCCAGCGCAGCAGGCCTGGGGACCGAAACCTCCAGCCCTTGTGCCTGCTTGCAGGTGCTTTAATCTACTGAGCTATTTGGCCAGCCCCAAATTTAATTTTTGACACAGGTCTCCTTAAGTTACCCAGGCTGGCCTCAAACTTGCGATCTTCCTGCCGCAGCCTCTCCAGGAGCCAGGATTACAGCCCTGTGTCATTGCCCCCACTCCCAGACTAAAATGTTTCTTAATGTGGAAAACAACCATTAATGTAATTAATAAAACTAATTCTTTGGAGGAAAAAATCTTTATGTTTGAGGCTAACAAGACACACTTTTGCACCACAGTCGCAAGGCAGCCAGGACCTGTCCTGAGATCAGCGCTTCTTTTTATTTTATTTATGCATTTTGGTGTTTTTGAGACAGAGTCTCACTGTGCAGTGCAGGCTGGCCTTGAGAGACCAGTACTTCCCACTAGGTGCTAGACGTTGTCGCCCTTGGGTGCATGCACTGTGCACTCAGTTCCTTCCCCAGAGGCTGAGACGACACCTCTGAGTCCTGTGTCACTCTTTCCCCGCCACGTAGCCTTTGTTTACACAGCCCTCTCTGTGTCTCCCACCACAGATGCTGTAATACATCTTTTGCTCTGTGAGCTCTGCTCTGCACCCATGCTGTGGGGAAACAGCTGTCACCTGGCTAGACCAGATTCCTCCCCTCTGCCCTCTGTAAGGTCCTCCCTTGCTTAATCTCCTCTGCTAATTATCCATAGGCAAGCCAGATAAGAATTCTGTTCTCTATCTGATTTAGTAAATGATTTCCTATTGAAAATATCCTCTTAACCACAGGCAGGCAATCCGGGCCACCATCAGAAACACAGAGAGGGGCGCCCTCCTGACGACCCACTACATGGCAGAGGCCGAGGCCGTGTGTGACCGTGTGGCCATCATGGTGTCGGGACGGCTGAGGCGAGTGCCCGTCCTGAGCACGTTCCCAACCTTGGGGTACATGGCTGGGAGTTTGGGTCTGTGGACAGAGAGAGGTCGATGTGACTGGCCAGAGCCGATGCCCTGTTTGGCTACACAGATCAGAGACTGTGTTAGCAACCAGTCGTGGTTTAGATTGCAATATGCCTTTTTCCCTTTTCTTTTATGACCTCGTTCTCCTTTGACCTCAGGTGTATCGGCTCCATCCAACACCTGAAAAGCAAATTTGGCAAAGATTACCTGCTGGAGATGAAAGTAAAGACCCCCACCCACGTGGAGCCCCTCCACACAGAAATCCTGAGGCTCTTCCCCCAGGCAGCTCGGCAGGAAAGGTAAAACTGGCTCCCGCTTTTGTTCTGGTACCAAGATCCCATTTTTCCATAGCAGTTACATTGACTTGTAGTGTTTTGAGAAAGAAACCCCCAAGAATTATTTGTTGGATACCACAGAAAGTACTAGAGAAAGCTGATGTAAAGGCTAAAGTCACACATGTTGTGGTCCTGCTGTGTGCCACGTACCACCAGGCTTTGTGACATCTTACTTAATCCTCACAGAGACTTCTCAGTGTTAGACTGTTGTGTGATGACTTCAAACGCCTTCATGAGTTTCTAGCTTTTTTTTTTCCAGTTTATCAATTTGATTTATTCTTTTTTTTCAGAATTTTATTGATAATCAGATAGCAATGAGACAGTTTCAAATCAAATCGGAAGTACAGATTCAACAAATAACACACTGCATATATTTTTCTTAGTGGTTAATTGCTGTACAAGATGTGGACTTGAGATCCTATTTGCAAACACCATTAGAACAAATCATTCTATTCATTAAGAGAATGCAACTATATATCTATCCTAACCAGTTTAAATACACAGATACAAAATGGACATTCATCTGTATACCCCTTTTTTTCTAAGTTCCGTTATTGAATATTATAGGTGTGTAAACTCAGCAAAATATTCTAAAAGAGTCCAGTAGCCCATAATAGCATTGGGTCTTCTGTTTAACTGGCAATGTCAGAAATTATTGACCTGAGTCCCCCACAGCTCAACATAACAGCATGGCTTTACTTCCTATATTTCGTCTTCATACTTTTCTACTGGATGGTTAAGACCAAGGTAAAGCAGGACCTGTGCAACAAGAGTTGTAGCTTTTGGGTCTGAGAAGGTCAATGAAATCCCCTCAGGATTTATCCTGAGATCCTGTACCTCAGATTGTAGAACCTTTGTCAGTGTCAGCCATGTGGATGAGTCACGGCTATTGCTTGACCAATGTGCTCTCTGTGAAAGCCTGAGAGAATGTTTTCTCTCCATGTGACTCTCCTTAGGCACACTCTCCATCATTGATCACTTTCCTCTTTGGCCCCATAATCTCCTTGATCAGAACATTTGGGACACTACCGAGTGACATGACGTTACAGTACAAGTTCTCATATGTCCTGAGTCTTAATTGACCTTAGAAGGCTAGGGCCAAACTGTTGGCTTTCCTTGTAGCCCTAGTTTCTAGCCTTTAAGATGAGCATCACAAATGATCAATTGGCAGTATGATAATGAAATTGGCAGGGAGAACAAGTTGAGGTCACATGACTAAGCTAACACCTGCTAGCTAAGACAGATGTCAAGATAATTATTTTGCTTGAAATTTATTAGTCTTTGGAGATCTATATAAATGCCATACTGATGCCGTCCTACTGAAAGCTGCAAAGCAAATCTCAAAAAACAACATTTAAGTTCCTTTTTCACACCTAGAACTTACTGCAGAAGAGATGATTCAGGAGTTAGGAGAGAAACAAAGACAAGGAGCGAAAATATGTTGTACAGCAGAACATAAATATAAAATCAGTGCCATAACTCATGGGCAGCCCCTGACTGAACAGAAATATGTAATAAACAGGCAGAGAGTGACCAAAATGCCTGAGAACAGTTGCCCCACAGCTATCTAAAACAGCGATGTCTTATGAAATAAAGCTTCAGCTTCTGTGATTTTCAGATGAAGACAAGATCAACATTTCTCTGAGAAATAAATTATTTTTATATTAATTTTATTGAGAAAAAGTAGCAATGAGACGGTTTCAAACAGGCTAGTAGCACAGTTACAATAATTAATACATTACATATTGTTGTCTTTGTAGTAGTTATTCATAGTACAAGATGCAGACATGATGTCTTGTCTAAACACTATTAGTTCAAACCTTTCTTCTCATTGAACTAGGAGAAAGTAGCTGTATATCTATGCTATTTTGTATCTGCAGATTTTTTTTCACTACAAAATGGTCCTTCATTTATATCCCTCTTTTTTGTTTACTTTTGTTAGAGATGGGTGTTCCATTGCCATTCATATATTGTAGGTGCCTGAATTCAGCAAAGTAATCTAATATAGTCCAGTAGTCTATAATAGTAGTGGGTTATCGGTAGGACTGGCAATGTCAGAAGTTGCTGATTGAGCCTTTTACAGTTCAGCATATTAATATGGCTTTACTTTTTATACCTCATTTTTATACCTTTCTGCTGAATGATTGAGACCAAGATAAAGCAAGACCTATGTAACAAAAAATGTAACTTTCCTATCTGACAAGGTGTCAAATCCCCTCAGGACTTACCCTGAAACCCTGTACTGCAGTTTGTAGATCTTTGTCAGTGTCAGCCATGTGGATGAGTCACGGCCATTGCTTGACCAATGTGCTCTCTGGGAAAGTTTGAGAGAATGTTTTCTCTCAATGTGACTTTTATTAAAAATTTACCAGGGCGGACATTATCTGAGGATGAGCATGTGCTCGCCACCTCAGAAGGTCGATTATGTTATTCTCCTTTAGGAGAATAGGCATGCATGTCATGAAAGATGCACCTAGGTTTCAAACTGGCTGAGAAACATTAAGAAGCTACATAGCTTCAGAACCTACTTGGAGAATGAAGTCGGGGCATAGATGTTCAGCCTAGAAAGTAAGGTGGAAGGCATTTGGGGAAAACTTCCAAAGGCATCTGACTGCACCTACGTGCTTCCACTCGAGAAGCCGAGGACACAGAGCTGAGGGTCTCTCCCTTGCCCCAGCCCTCCTTGTGCACCGCCTCCTTTTGATTGTTGATTCACCCTAGGGTCTTTGCTTACACCAAGGAAACTACAGCAGTAAAGGCCGAGATGAACAGTTAGAGTGGGCAAAATGATAGGTTCTGGTATAACGACAGACCCATGCAAGAAAACAGAGATGAATAAGTAAATAAATTCCCATATACGTGATCATTTCCTTTTCAACTTCTCTGTGCACAACAGTCAAGAAGAGAAAGCTAGTCGCTGCAACAAATGACACTGAGCAAACTGGGTACCCTTACGCAAAAGAATGGAATTAGGCGCTAACACATACCATACACTAAAGTCAGCTGAAAAGGGATTAAAACTTACATGAGATCTGAAACTGTAAAACTCATGGAAGAAAATTTAACAGAGGAACTTCATGACACTGGTCTTGGAAATGAGTTAATAAATAGGACACCAGAATCATGAGCAAAGAACCAAAAACAAAAATAAGATAATCTAGTTGAAAAAGCTTCTACACAGCAAAGGAATGGAGGAAAAATACCACCGACAGAATGATAGCACTATTTGCAAATGATGTAGCTGATAAGGCGTGAATGTCCCAAATACACACGAAATGCTAGTATACCAGTAGCGAATGATAACAATGTAAACTGAATCACCTGATTTAAAAATGGACGAAAAAGGCCAGCCACGTAGCTCAGAGGATTAAAGCACCTGCTTAGGCTGATGCAGGGACCAGGGTTCAATCCCCAGGGTGCCATGCCAGCCCCTCTTCCCAGGGGGCACCCTGAGAGGGTGGCTGAGACCGGGCATGGTGATATGTGCCTGTAATCCCGGCGCTTCGGAGGCTGAAAACAGGAAAATCACTATGAGTCTGATGTATGTACTGATGTATGTACTGAAACCCTGTAGACTGTGTACTAAATACATAAAAAATAAATAAATAAAATAAAATAAAAAATGGGTGAATAAACAGATATTTCTACAGAAGAACCCTACAAACAACCATAGGGCATGTCAAAAAACTATTCAGTGTCACTAGGAATCAGAGAAATGCAAATCAAAACCACAATGAGCTATCACGTCACCCATTAGACTGGCAATAGCGTAAAAAAGAATGAAAGAGGCTGGGGAGATAGCTCAGTGGTCTAAGTGCCTGCCTGGCAAGCGCAGGGACATGCGTTCGATCCCCAGTACCACATGTTGTGCTGGCCTGAAACCAGGTGTGACAGCACACACCTGTAATCCCAGTGCCGAGAAATCTAAGACAGGAGGATCACTATAAGGCTGAGCTGTGTAATGAGACCTTGTACCAAATAAATAACTTGTTTAGAAAAACGAATGAGAGGGCCTTGGAAATAGCTCAGTAAAATAAGCACTTGCCGGGCAAGTGCAAGGGCCTGAGTTCAATCTTTGGTTCCACAAAAAAAAAAGGAAAAAGGAATGAGAGAAACAAAAATCATTGGTAAATATGTGGACACACTGAAGCATTTGCACCCCGTGGGTGGGAATGTAAAGTGCTGCAGCCGTGTGAGGGTTTCTCAAAAAACTTAAACATAGAATTAGGGAATCGCTGTTGTGGGCACAAGTTCAAAAGAACTGAAATCAAGGTCTCAAAGAGGTACCTGCACATCCACGCTTATCCCAGCACTATTTGCAATAACTACGATACACAAAAAAGGTTAGTGTCCGCTGGCTGATAAATGAACTGCAAAATGCGTTCCATTCATACGCTGGAATGCCATTCAGCCTTCTAAAAGAAGGAAATTTTCGTTTTTAAAAATAATAAATAACAAAAGGAAGGAAATTCTGCAGTAGGTAGCAGCCTGGAGGAACCTGGAGGATTTGTGTTGAGTAAAATAGATCAGAGACATTATTACCCTACAACATGGGCTGTTGAGCTTAGCATCAGTATCTGTCTGAATATCAAACGCCTTAGACATACCATGGAACAGGTATTTTCCCTCAATCATTGATATGCTAAACTTTAAATCCCTATAGAATGTGAAAAAATA